TGAAATACTTTGTCATATAAGACTTGGAATCCAATGATATATTTTATAATTAGCATCTTTCTCTTTTCTTAAAAGTAAGTTTAGGGGATTCCGTTTGGATTAAAAGGGTGTGGGAGTGGGTATGGTAAAAGGTGTTTGGTTCCAATGCTAAACTAGAGGTTCCTCAGTAAAAGTGAATCTTGGAACAGATAACAGGAAAAAAAAATATGTAATTAAACTATGTAATCTGTACGCTGGCTACCAGCTTGGCTGGCTACAAAAAAGACTGGACCAGTTCACAGAAGTCATGGGGACCAATGGCTTTTAGCCTTGATGGCAATGTGACTGCATTTCAAAGCCATCTGCTGGGAGACTACTGGGCTTCCTAGTTTCCCGCTTTGAGAACAGATTGTTAGACTAAATGGACCAGGGGGCAGGACACCGCCTGTGTTCTTATGTTCTCTGTTTCTGGTCTAGATTTCCAGGGGGAATCCATTAACACCAATAAATCTGTTTTTAATTCAGTGAAGTAAATTTAAGGTGAATTGGGGGGGGGGGATCAGAGTAATGTTAAGGCCATTACATTAAACCTATTACATTAGAGTCTCCAAAAGAATGACCACTTTTATTTTAGAATATGGAACAAGAATAATGAAAGAAGAAATATGCAGCTGCTGGATTTATGTTAGCATTTTTTTTTTTCAATATAAAATTTTTATTGTTTTCATCATAAAAAAAACAACACCAGTATTACACAATATTATTACACAATATTATATCCCACCCCCCCGGACTTCCCAAACCAAATCCCAGGCTAATATTCAAATATAAGTAAACGAATATTAATTTCTCTAATTCCACAAACTCTATTATAAACAATCCATCTCCTCCATATTAATAAAAATTATTCATTTAAGTAATTCAGATCACCAAAATCTTTACCAATTCAGCAAGATACTTTAACACCGCCAAGAAAAAAAAAAAAAAAAAGGACCATTCATTAAATTTAGTTTTTCCCTGTCACCAATAACTCTTCCTCTCTATTACAACATAATTATCATATTTGTAATAATAATATAAGTGCATTTCTATTTTTAAAAAATATATTCTATCATTTCATCAATCTACACCTATAAAAAATCATTTTAAGTCCTTAATAAAATTTACAACTTCAATTACATATCAATTATNTGACTATCTTAAGCAGCCAGCAGTTGCTTCCTGCCACAACTCCAGCTGAATACAAGATGATCACAGCAGTTAAAAGTATCCACTTGAGACTTAGAATTGCCCAAGTTAATTTGCCTGCTCCACCTGGGGCAAGTCCCTGGGCCTCTTCCAATGTCAGCTTTTTATTTTGAAGACACGGCTGCCTGAAGATGTAAAAAAAAGCAGTAAAGGTAGTATAAATGATGTCTTATTTCGGGGGGGGGGGGGGATCCAAGCAGCTGGGGGGAAAAAGCATATCAACATTTCACAGGTTGGGCCGCCTGTATATTATTTTACTGAATATGATTATATTCCATACATACATGTTGTAACATATATATTAACAATAACATGGGAGATTTCTCATTAATTGCTTGTAGGAAAACATGTGCATATTATCAGCATCAAGAAGCAGAAGTATTTATTTTGCTTCGAAAACACTGGACTGAGAAACTGAATATACAAATTGTTCTGAGTGTTTTAGTCCCCAAACATCTGGAGAGCAGAAGTAAAAAAAAAACTGATGTTGATCCAGATGTGCATCCATATCAGCTATGAGTTATTTTATGCTTTAATACTCTTAGCCAGATTGAGACTTGTTATCTGAAGGGATAGTTTTCTGCTTCCATTACTGGGGATATATGCATTATATAAAATAGTCCTTGGGATGCAAATAGTCTTTTTGTTCCTATCATTTGGCCCTTAGATTTGATTTCCAAATTTGAGATAGGGGTTATGTAGCACACGTAGGTAGTCCTTGACTTGCCACCATTTAGCAACTGCTCAAATTAATGACAGTGCTGAAGAAATGATTTACAAACTGTCCTCACATTTATGACTGCCACAACATCCCTGTGATCATCTAATCAAAATCCAGGCACAGCATAGAATATACAATAGTTGAAATCAAGTGATCACCCTTTGCAATCCAGTTTCCAACAAGCACAGTCAGTGGAAAAGCCAGATTCACTTAACAATTCTGCTATTCAATAATCATGACAAAAAAGGTGATAAAATTGGGCTCAGTTCATTTAACAACCACCTCGCTTAACAAAGGAAGTCTGTTCTCAATTGTGGTCCTAAGTCAAGGACTACCTGTATGTAGCTTACCTGAAAAGATTACTGATCTTGTACCACTTTCTCTTAAGTAATTATATTACTTATTGTTCGTTTCCATAGCTAGTGGCAATAGGAACTCAGCAGTCTCTACACAAGGTCACTGGAAGTCTGGAGGTTCCCTTTTTCCCCATCCTCCCCTCCGTAGCAATTTAGTCTTCATTAGCTCAGAACTAGTTCTGTGTGATGTTCCTTAATTAGTTTATATGCTTTGACTCACAATTTCTGTATATACGCTTTGACTCACGATTTCTGTAAACCCTTGCCATTGGTCAAATAAATTATGATTCATGAAAATTGGACTAAACAGTTATTGGAGAGGCAGCCACTGCTCAAACTTGAACTACCAGCTAATTTAGTCAGCAGAAGAAATTTGTTCAGTTGCTGGTATATAAAACGAAAGCTGGAGAACTGGGCATTTTAATATTAATCCCAGCTTATTTCTATTTGAAATTTGGCCCAAATTTAATTTCAGTTTTGAAAGCCTATGCCAGGGGTAGGCAACCTTGGCTCTTTTATGACTCGTGGACTTCAACTCCCAGAATTCCTGAGCCAGGAATTCTGGGAGTTGAAGTCCACGAGTCATAAAAGAGCCAAGGTTGCCTACCCCAGGCTTAGGCCTGGATTCAGTGACTCTTGGAATGTTTAATTACAGGGATTAAAATCTTTTAACATCAAACAATTGGAACATCTCAGTCATTTGTTTAAGAGTTACGGACACCAAGTCCTGCAACTCTCTGCCAAGGGGCGGTGGAGGTGAAGAAGATAACGAGGGTGGCAAGTGGAAGTTTTTTGAAGTTAATTGAGATGTCTGGGACATCAGGGATATAGTCGGTCTTAAAGTTGAAGGCACAATTTTTCTCAA